GAGAAATGTTTAAAGGAGCTTGTTGAACCTCTTCTCTCTCAATCTCCCCAGGTCACATTTTTTAACTTTAACCACTGAAACTCGGCAGTGCTATAGTCAACAAGATGACGACGCTCACGGTCTTTTCGGTTTCCTGGCCATGGGTTCGAGGGGATTCATTTTAAAGTTTATGGCCAACTTTGACGGCACGCAACGGACATGCCCTTCAACGTACAGTCATAAATAGCACAACTTGTAATCAGCAACATTATTCAAGAGTACTGTCCAGTGTTGAAGCAGCTCTGATAAATTCCCTAGGTGTTTGTTTGTTCAAATACAAGACCACGGACTTCAAAATGGCCAACTTTGACGGTACAGTCACAAATTGAATAGCGTTCATTCAGCACCATTTTTTGACTGTACTGACCAATTTTGAAGCAGATCCCAGAAATTCCCTAGGAGTTCGTTCAAATACAAGCCCAAAAAGTGAAAATGACCACAAAATGGTGAAAATTAAAATCGAAATTGCAGACTTCCTGTGGGTTTTGGGGCATGGGTCCAAGAGGCTTTTTTGTACGTCTCTGCACGTTACACATGCCCACCAACTTTCATAGATATCGGTGAAACGTGGTGCCGGGGCCTCAAATTGTTCAAGATTGTGCACGATGCCTAATGAAGACATGGGGAACTATGAACCCAAGCTTGGTGTCAATCGGACATACCATTGTGGAGAAATGGTCCACTTCCTTTTGACGAAAAATCAACAGGAAGTGCTAATTTTATAACGTGCTTATTTTTTTAAATATCAAAATACTTTAAATTACTTTTTTTGCCAGGACGGTCTCCAGATGCTACGTGCAAAGTTTCATGCGAATTGGACAAAAGTGCATGGATGGAACACGAAAACGTAGCTTTTGGACATTTTGCGCTCTAGCGGGGGGAAAAATCTAGGCAGAAGTGGGCGTGGCCTATATAGGGAGATTCAGCTCCATTCACCGAACGCGTGGATATAAGGTTTTTGAATGTGAGACAAACGATGCGGGAGTTATTAGCCTAAACATACTTTTCTTAATAATAGCGCCACCTAGTGGTCTACCCCAAAGCGACACATAGCATTTCAACGTTTTCACCAGGCCTGACAAATTTGCCAAATAAAATTCACTCGAAGTATACGTTCAGGGGGTCAAAAACGCAGTCAAGGTTTTGAATAATAATAATAATAATAATAATAATAATAAGAATAAGAATAAGAAGAAGAAGAAGAAGAAGAAGAAGAAGAAGAAGAAGAAGAAACGGACCAATAACAATAGGGACCTTCCAGCTGTCGCTGACTCTGTCCCTAATTAAAGCTGCAAGTAGCGATGAACAGGACGCCACACTCCATGCAACTCGGGGTGTGCTGTGGCCGCAGCACGTGCAAGTGTAATGTGCAGACCGCGACAATAGGCCCTTAGATGCGTTTAGGCCAGGGCTCTTAACAGAACTTCTGTGGATTGTGCTCTCCAATTTTAAGTCGTTCTATTCAATTCACTAGGAGGAGTCTGTTAAAATAGAAGCCCTGGAATTGCTGAAAATGGCATCAGTTTGACATTCGATTCAAAATGGCAGACTTTGACAGCACGCCACGGTCACGCCGTTCAGTGAATATTTATGAGAAGCACAACCTTAAATCCTGGAAGTCTTTAGAATGTGCCCACCAAATTCTGAGTCATTCTGATCAATTCCCTTGGAGGAGTTAAATCCAAAATGGCCGACTTCCTGTTGGGTTTGGGGTATAGCTCCAAGAGGCTTTTTGCTTGTGTGATCATGATACACATGCCTACCAATTTTCGTACATGTCGGCCATTCGTGTCTTGGGGGCTGATTCGGTGGACCGAGGCTTAGCCATTTGGCGGCGCCCGTGCACGGGTACAAAGGAAAACGTAAGGTTTTACCACGTTTGAATTTTATGCAAAGTTTTGTGAACTTTCGAGCACGTTCAGGCTTCCAAAAATGCCATTGAAGAGGCAGAAAAATAGCCAATTCCTACAGATACAATACGGCCTTTGCACAACTTAACAGTAGGACCTTCTAAGTATCAATTAACCTCTTAACATGTAAGTTATGCATAGGCTCACTATATGTAGGTAACTGTCATTGGCATCAACATTCAGAGACAGAAAACACATCAAAGCATACACTAAAGAGGGGGGAAAAAATCAAAAGGTCAAATTAATTAGATAACTGTACATGTAGACCTATACCAGTGGTAGGCAACCCGCAACTCCCCAGTGGTTCCTTGTGGCTATTTTGCAAAACCTTAAAAGTGGTGGCTGGTAGTCTTGAGTCTGCCTAGCTAGGCTAGCTGTGGACTAGTGCAAGGACAGATTCATTTCTCTTTTCCACCAACACTGCTGGCTCACTGCTATGCTAGATCTGCAGTGAGAAATTAGCATTAAAAGGCTCAAATACGTTTAGCGACTCCAAAACCTTTGGGGCAGATTAAAGTTGCAGTAAGTAAAGTTCATAAAAAATAGCATAGTAGTATTTGCGGAAAAAAGGTCCTGACAACAGTACATAGATAGTAATCTGGTGACTCTGACTTGTTTTTTTTTATAAAAAATCAAAATCAAAATAAAACTTCCAGAGCTTTAACTACGCTAACATCAGTGCTGCAGTTAAATATATAAAAATATACCAATGCACTGGACGAAAATGAATATTACAAAGCAAATTGTGCATAAAGACAGTCTCACGTGGTTTCACTTTCTGTTATATTTCTATCCAAGTGGGTATTTGATTAAGATTAAGATGCAACTTTACATTCAACATGTGCTTTTGTTTACATTTGTTACATCAACCTCAGGTGAACATAGATAGCAGCAGCAGCAGCAGCAGCAGCAGCAGCAGCAGCTCCCCCCAAAAAAAAAAAGAAGAACAAAACAAAACAAAATACGGGAGAAGCTGCGTTGACTCCACACTATGCACTACCGTGCACACTGCATTGAGGGGCTTTTTCTCTCGCTGCCTGACTAGCTGAAACACAGCTACGGTAAAGGCTAGCAAGGTAGCCAACGCTAGCTGATTAGCAAACGCCTTATGCCGTGGAAATTCGCTCACGGTCTAATGTTGGTTACATCTAAACTCACTCCCCTTGGTCATACAACCCACAGGTGCATGAAAGCCACTGTTGGCAAGTAAACAATGATCTCATTGGTCGTCTTCGGAAGGCTGACTGTCGCCTATCTGGCCTAAATTACCGGTGCTTTGCTCTCTAACGGTAATATTTGGTCGGCTAGGTGGCCAGCAGTGACCTCTCGCTTGTATTAAGTTTACAGCTTACAAAAAGCACTAAACGTGTCTTCACGCCGCAGAATTATCCTATAAGCGCTTTATCGAAGAACGAATGAGTCCACTCGCCTCCAATGCGGCTTTCAAATTACACATATTACAAATTATATGGAAATAACGGGATCGGGAGATTTACCTTGGCCAGCCTCCTGCTCGCCGCCATCTTGAAACTACTGTGTTCCCAGAATACACAGCGCGGCGAATATGGGTCTGTCCGTGGATGTGGTCAGGTCTGTGGTTGAGGATTAGCTATCAGCCTGTTAACTACATCTATTAAATTCGACATTTAAGGGAAATCTCGAATATTACACTTAATGTGGGGCTCACGGGAAAGTTCCCGGTCAAAAACCGTTATGGTTTTTAACAGAATGAGGCTACTCTCAGGGTGTATAGCCTAGATAGGCGTTACATAGGCTACTTCATAATAATTTTATTAAGTCAGGAGTTTACATATTCTTTTAGGTTAGACTTGCTAACTTAAATAAACCTAAATCCTTTATCAATATAAAGCCTTTAAGTCAAACTATTTTATTGCATTAACCTATTGATGCACTGTAATAGAGCTGGATGGTTGAAAGGTGAACCCGTACTCATACCCTAAGATTGCCGGTAATACTGTTATCAAACATGAAGAAATTAGTATGTGACATTAGCAGGTCAACTGAGAGTGCATCTTTCCTGGGTACAAAATAAAAGTCCATTGCTTCTAATCCACCATCATATGGGATATTGGTGCACAAACTCTGCCAACAATTTCAAAACATTTCTAGTGTCCGCCACATATGAGGGTAATGTCTCAACAATGTCTTTAATGAAGTAATCCACAAGTTGCCTCAGAGGTTCAGACAAGGAGTTGCTGCTTGCTACAACTGGTCTACCATGTGGATTTTCCAAACTTTTATGTATCTTTGGCAATAATTAGAAAATCGGTGTGATGAGATGTTCTATTTTCATAAATTCCTACTGACTCTTAGTGATCCACTTGTTATCCAATGTGCTGTTCAAACAGATTATGCCATTGCTAGGCACTATATGGAACGATGCCACTCCCATCAAATTCCCTGCATTGAAAGAGTGCGACCCAGTCCAAGAGGGGTCATTTGATTACCCAGTTCCTAAGGGAGGCATTTTGGATTTATGAACTGAACACAGTTGGACTTAATTAAGCACAGGATTTGAGCTGTTTTTTGTGATGTTGGACCTCAGGGAGAGATGAGACACTAGATCCCCTTGCCTTCACATTTAGTGGTGTAGAGGGACCGTGGTAGAACCTACAGGATAGGAGGAAGGATTAGTTTTCTGCTCGTTGTATGTAATGTGGTGTAATTCTTGTGATTCTGTTAATCATGCTGTTCTTAAATTTATCTTGCTTGGTCTTTTGCAATATGTTTTTTTGTATTTGCTTAAAGTATGTGGTAGGCAGTAGTATGCAAAGAAAAACTCAGTCCAAATATCATAGTTTTAAGCTTTTTTTAAGAAAAACAAAATAAAACAATCATGGGTGCCAACCGCCATAAAACTCCACAGAAGAAGAAGAAGAACCACAAGCAGAAGAACTTCATATTTTTTAACCAAGATGACGAAGTCATGACCCGCCTTATTCTGCCTCTGATTGGCTTACCCTGACATTCTTACCGTAACCCAGAGCCATAAGATATAATATATATGAACCTAAACCTAACCAACCAAACAAATTAAGGAAACGAGAACTAGCCAATCAAAGGCAGATTAGGGTGGGTCATGACGTCGCCATCCTGGGATAAAAAATTGTTCGTACGATCCGATCTCCACTTACGCCCAACACTGGCGTCACCTGGAAGTAGTCACACTGGGCGAGATGACCGGAACAACAAAATGGCGGAGAATGAGGAGTTTCGGGTAGGGGAAAAGAAAAACACTGATTGTGTCTTACTTCTGTCAGTATTAAAACATGGAGCGTTAACCTGTAACGAATAAACTGGTTGATATATATATGGCCAAAGCTGATGTGCTAACAGCATAGGGTGATGCCTGGAAGCAAGGTGCATTTTCAGACCAGATTGTTTGCTTTTCCGTAGTTAGCCTTAATGCTAACGATTTATAACGTTAACTAGCCAGGTCCCTTGTTAGCTCGCTGCAGCTATGTGAAACCATACAAAGGTTTTTTTTCAGTACTGCGTCTAGTTAACGTTACATTGTCATTGTTTTAAGTACGAGGGCCTTTAAAGCTGGTAAGTAATCTTCAGAGAAGTTAATATTAACGTAAATTATTTCTGTACGAAATTACATGCCGCTAATTTCACAAAGATGCACCCTGTGTGGGATCAATAAAGTATATCTTATCTTATTTAGCCCGGAGTTAACGATACTTGTACTATCTTAAATTGTATGTACTACACAGCGTCAAAGGTCGATTTGTTGACTCGGTTTTAAAACCTACTGTTTATATTGTATTGTTGGGTCTAAACTCTAACGTTACCTTTTAACGTGAATCTTATCAAAAAGGTTGAGTGAATTTCTGCTGCTCCGTAATAACGTTATTAATTAATCGTAAGTAAAGCTGATTAAGGGACGATGGAACCTCTTCATTGGTGATAAGAGAATTCAGTGTTTTACGTATGAAAAACATTTCTGCACTAGGCTACTTGTCGCTTAAGTGAGTCTCATACACGAGCCTACAGCTTAGCTGCTCATTGTTTGTGGCAACTTCTAACCCAAAATCTGGTTCTTAACCTACCTACTTACCTATTTAAGAACTACATAACTCGTGGTAGTTTGAGGAAGTAGGAAAGAGGTGGCCACTTTTATAAACATTGTTGGTCTACAGGAATAACAAGTGCTATGAAATGCTATGAGATAAATAGTCCTGCCCCCTTCGCTAGCTGCACCAGCAGTTTGCATTCAGTTTATCCACCAGTCTTTATAAAAACACCCGAAACATGTTCCTGGGATTTTCTGTTAATTTTGTAAGCTAATGCACTGTAAGCACTGTATTCTTGCAAGATTATGGTGGTTTCATTGTATATCACAGTATTTTCTTTGCATGATTGGACCTTTTATTGTATGTAAATACATTTATGTGTAAAGAGATTAAACTGCTATGTGTTTAACTAAATTCATGCAGCATTGCACTTCTCTCAGTACAACAAAAATATGCAATACAACAAAAAACATTTTCATTACCGCAATGTCCTCTGTTATACTGATTGGCCAAAGCCATGCTATCCTGTGTTTTGATCATCAAATAAACCATTTTTACTTTTGTAAAACACTCAGTATTTAACACAATTTCTACAATTTTCTACATTTAGTCATTTTAAAGCACTTTTGTATTCTTATGCCATTGTCTAAATACTATACTAGTGCACTTAAACAATGTAATTGAGTCTTTCACTTGTATTATGTATTGTTTGGCCTTGATGTTTGCTTGTGTTGTGGCTTCTTGTCAGATCTTCATTAGAGTAAGTCAGTGTTAGTGTTCGACTGTGGTTTGTGGTTGTCACCTTGTGCATCATGTCTTGCTTGCTACCTTTTTCATCCATTCTTCCATCCTGGTTTGGCCACCCCAAAGTCACTGTTTTCCTCTGCCGAGAGAAGGGAACTGTAGTAAACACTGACATCTCTGTTTAGCAGGAGTCGGTCCTGTAACGCAGACTTCAGCCTGTCGACTGGTGAAACAGCTGTGTGGCACGACACCAAAACCAGCATGAATCTCCAGCAGCCAGCCCCTCTCATCCCCCCCGTCCACCCTGATGTGCAGATGAAGCCCTTGCCATTCTATGATGTACTGGATGTCCTAATCAAGCCTTCAAGTCTAGGTCTGTTGTCTTATCTTTCTCTTTCAGTTTAAAAGAAGAACACTTCTGAGCCATGTAACCACCTGCATAGCCACAGGTGTGCCTGTGCCATCTAAATCTAAAGCTGACACTCAGCATAAACATAAATAAATTTGAGTTACTTGCAAATAGGGATGTCCCTGATGAGCTTAGGGATGAGCTTTAGTGATCGATCTGATCTTTTGTTTTCCATCAGATGTCACAGCTGTTTTTACTCATGAAGTTTTATCGGCACGCAGCAGCCATTGTCAACTGCAACTGTCTCTTTCCTTCACTCTGCTCTGTGTGAGAGAGCAGGAGCAGCCCTGCCCCAGCGGAGTTTCACGGTGGGAGGGGCTGCCAGAGGAGAGGTGGTAAAGAGCCACGCCACCGCAACAAACTGGGATGCGTTCTGACACCTTTCTGTCAGAACCAGCATTAACTTTTTCAACAGTTTTATCTACAGTAGCTTGTCTCCTTGATCGGACGACATGGCCACGTTCATTAGTTAGCCTTGGCCACCCAAGACCCTGTCACCAGTTCACCACTTTTCCTTCCATGTACCACTTTTGATAAGTACTGACCACCACAAGAGAAGCAGTTTTTGAGATGCTCTGACCCAGTTGTCTAGCAATAACAATTTGGCCCTCGTCAAAATCCTTATGCTTGCCCATTCTTCCTGCTTCTTAACACATCAACTTGGACAGAATGTTCGCTTGCTGCCTAATATACATCGATCAGCCATAACATTATGACCACTGATTGGTGACATGAATAACACTGATTATCTCGTTATCATGGTATCGGTCAGTGGGTCAGATATATTAGGCAGCAAGTGAAGATTTTGTCTCCAAAGTTGATGTTTTTATACACACACACACACACATGCACATACAAGGAATTTGACTCCGGTTTTACGTTGCTCTCAATGTACACAAACACACAGAGATTAACAGTATAAATAAGCAAAACAAGTTCAACAACAAAAAAAAAGACCTAGACCTCCTTTTGTAGACAGTAGACAACAGTGCAATGGAGCAGAGTGCAAAGGATGCTGAAATGAATATTTTACGTACATGGGGTAGGTGGGTATGACTGTAAATACAGTATGCAAAGAAACTGAATTTTCAGCAATGGAAAAATAAGTAATGAATGGTTTCATTAAGAGTATTGTACAGGGCAGTTAACTGTTGGTCAGAGTGATGGCCTGTGGGTAGAAACTGTTCCTGTGTCTCTTTTTTTTGGTGTACAGTGTTCTGTAGCACTACAGAGGGGAGGAGTTGGAACAGGTTGTGTCCAGAGTGAGCTGGATCTGCAGTCATGTTACCTGCTCGTTTCCTGACTCTGGACAGGTAAAGGTCCTGAATTGATGGCAGGTTGGCACCAATGATCCTCTCTGGATCTGCTGTCCTGACTGTCCACTGTAGTCCTGTTCCTGTCCTGTTTGGTGGCCGATCCACACCAGACAATGATGGATGGAACAGAGACCAGACTGAATGATTGCAGTATAAAACTGGATCAGCAGTTCCTTAGGCAGATTGAGCCCTCTGAGCGGGCGCAGGAAGTATAACCTCTGCCGAGCCCTCTTGATGATGGTGCAGGTGTTGGACTCCCACTTAAGCCAGGGAGATTGTGTATCCCAAAAACCTGAAAGTTTCCACAGCAGACACAGGGCTGTTGAGTATGGTGATGGGGGGGCAGTCCACTGTCATCTCCACAGTTTTGAGTGTGTTAAGCTCCAGGTTGTTCTGACTACACCAGAGGGCCAGCTGTTTTACCTCCCGTCTGTATGCAGACTGTACGACTGTGTCGTCTGTCAACTTCAGGAGTTTGACAGACTGGTCTCTCGAGGTGCAGTCATTTGCGTAGAGGGAGAAGAGCAGTGGGGAGAGCACACACCTCTGGGGGGTGCCAGTGCTAACTGTCCAGGTGCTGGATGTGATGTTCCCCAGCCTCACCAGCTGCCTCCTGTCAGTCACGAAGTTTGTAGTGCACTGACAGGTGGGGGTTTGCACAGGGAGCTGGGTGAGTCTGGTGTGGAGGATGTCCGGGATAATGGTGTTGAACGCTGAACTTAAGTCCACAAACTGGATCCCTGCATATGTCCCTGGAGAGTCAAGGTCTTGCAGGATGTAGTGCAGTCCCATGTTGACTGCATCATCCAATGACCTGTTTGCTTGGTAGGCAAACTGCAGGGGGTCCAGCAAGGAGCCTGTAATGTCCTTCAGGTGGGCCAACACCAGTCTTTCAAAGGACTTTATGACTACAGATGTCAGGGCGAAAGGCCTGTAGTCATTTAGTCCTGTGATGGAGGGTTTTTTGGGAACCGGGATGATTGTGGAGCGTTTGAAGCAGGAAGGAACTTCACACAACTCTGTAGGATGGTGAAACTCTGTCTGCTTCTGATGCCTTCCTGATCTTCCTGATACACACACGTATTTTGTGTGTGTGTGTGTGTGTGTATGTATGTTCGTATGTATATGTCTTGCTGAACACCAATCCTTTTGTTTTCCTCAAAACACTGTAAGAGCTATTAGACAAATTCCATAAATTAGCTCTTACGGACACATTTTTAAGCTCTTACAGACACATTGTAACAACAAACAAAAAAATACCAACATTTCTAAATGGTAAATGGACCTGTACTTGTATAGCGCCTTTCTAGTCTTCTGACCACTCAAAGCGCTTTACACTACGTGCCACATTCACCCTTTCACACACATTCACTCAGTGATGGCAAAGTCCATCGAACAGAAACTAACATTCATACACATTCACACACCGATGCACGGCATCGGGAGCAATTTGGGGTTCAGTATGTATATGCTCAAGGATACTTCGACATGTGAACCCGGGGATCGAACCCACAACCTTCCAATTAAGGAACGACCTGCTCTGCCTCTGAGCCACAGCAGCCACAGCACCATATGCTTAAATCCTTCTACGTGTTGACACAAAACACACACCAATGTACAGCCTTAAAGATGTGAACAAACAGGAAGCCTGGACTCACAAGTCATTCATTCATGCATACATTTTAAACAAGGCTAATGTCAGTATAATCATCACAATACAAACATTTCTTTCACACACTGTTAAAGCAACAAATCACGTTGACAATAACCACAGCCAAAGGCAACAAAATAACAAACCCGTACCTTGTTTCCATTCCAGCCAGGCGTTTAAATATCAACAATTATCCCTTTTGTTTGTAGAGCAGAGTTGAAACACCCCAGTAGCACAACTTTCTTATAAATGCAGCATCCAGTACTCGACCGAAAGTGCGTCAAAATAAAAGACATGAAAAGTAAAGGCGCTACCAAAATAATGGCACACAGGAAGTTCAACAAAAAGAAGCCTTTACAATATTTATGCGTCTATATGTATAAATATGCAATGATGTAAGCAATTAAACTATTGAATCAAAGATGATAAACGAAACATTTCAATAAATACATTCTAAAAAGCAGACACAATTATTTTGGTATTGTAGTGCTGATAGCGAGACATAACCATAGCTGATTGTGCAGAATGTTATCAATTAAGTTTTATGTTCCTCAACTGCCTTAGTCTTCTACTTGACCAATTTTTTAATAAGGGCAAATAAAAATTTGATTTTGGTTAAAATAAGACTATGTATTACCAAAATGAATAAATTAAAGCTAGCTGTTTTAGTGCATTCTAAACATGATTTATGAGTTAATGGTGTGAGGAATATATGAATCAGTTTTGGATTACTGCAGATGAATCTATTGAGACATAAATTAATGCAGCTTTAGAATCTGAAAATAAGCCAAACTGTGAACTGTATGCTCTATATAAAGGTCATAAACAATACTTTGTGTATGTGTGTCATCATTTGTGTTTTCAGGAGCAAGTACTGCACAGAGGTACCACCAAGAAAAATATTTTATCTTTGCCTTGACACCACAGCAAGTTCGAGAAGTATGCATATCCAGGTGGGACTATTTAACAGCTTAATTACTTCACAGTTACTGAGGAAAATATGCCTGTGTCTGTGATGTAAATGATAAATACAGTATGTTTAATCTTGTTTGTTTACAGGGACTTTCTTCCAGGTGGCAGAAGGGACTATATGGTTCAAATTCAGCTGAGGTTAGAATCTTTTCTGACATGTAAATGATAGAGAATCCTAACTTTGAATCTGAAAGAAAAAAATAATCAACTGAGAAACACAGTGAGAACTCTGTTTAAAAGACCTACACCGCACACTCACACACATTCACACACACTCACAGATCTGGTAAAGACACAGCATCAAGCATTTAGTTACTGTTTTGCTGAAGATAATTTTTAATAATTTTACTTAAAGAGTAATTAACAATTACTTTAATATTTATTTTATATTTGTGAAAAGTATTTTCTAAATAAATGTTCAGGCTCTTAAGTGTTTCTTTTTGTTGTACAGATTTTGCTTGTCAGAGACAAGTTGCCCTCAAGAGGATAATTATCCAAACAGTCTTTGTATAAAGGTCAATGGGAAACTTTTTCCTTTGCCAGTAAGTACTTGTTTTTTCCAAAACAGTTCCAATAAAAAGCCAATCCGACTTAAGTTTTCTACTGTAAAGACACTAATAAAGCATTTTGTTTCTGTAGGGTTATGCACCACCACCAAAAAACGGTGTGGAACAGAAGAGACCAGGAAGACCTCTAAATATAACCTCCCTTGTCCGACTCTCCTCTGCGGTACCCAATCAGATTTCAGTGACATGGGCCCCTGAAATTGGAAAAGTGAGAACGTAAAAAGTCATTATGTTTCTTCTGAGTTGGACATAATGTTTGGGTAAAGTAACAGTAACTTCTTTCTTAAGGTTGATGATCATATTGTCTTTCAGACCTATTCTATGTCTGTGTACTTGGTGAGGCAGCTGACATCACCACTGCTCCTGCAGAGACTGAGGATGAAGGGCATCAGAAACCCAGACCACTCCAGGGCACTAAGTAACTACACAGTATACAAACTCTTCAATGTTGCCCACAAGAAGGTATAGGGCTTCACAAATCCCCCCAAAAATATCCTTACCTGAAAAGCACCTGTCGGTGCACCCACCCCACCCCTTGATATGTGTCTGAATTTTAGAATTTCATTGGTATCAATAAAATGTTATCAATACTACTACTCACAGCTTTAATTTTGGCTGATTGAGCTGCTTCTATCTGTTGAGCTCAGAAAGGTGTGAACCCATAGATTGCTGCCTTTGGATATCTGTCATTATTATTTGTCTTCACCCCACACTGTAAGTCCAGTTCACTTAAAATTTGATACACACCAATCCATTTTCCCTACAAAAAAATCCCCTTGGACAAGGCTGAAAATTTTAACATTTTTGGTTTTCAATACTATCAACACCAATTTTGGTATACAACTTTGCAGGACTGTGATACATCAACATATTATGAATGGAATACACGTTGTATAGCTGTACAAGGATGGCCACCGTCAGGAAATTGGCCATAACTCAAGTTCTCTTAAAGCAATCCAAATTAAACTCAATGGTGATACATACACACATTGTTCATGGAAGTTGTACAATTGATGTCACTGCTTTTTTAAACAGAATTAAACTAGAATCACAGCATATATGTATATTTGGTTTTGGTGTATTTTATACCTTTTTTAAATTAGTCTTTTCTTTTCCTCTGTACTTTTCCCCTGCTCTCTGTGTTCCAGTTAAAGAGAAGCTGACAGCAGATCCAGACAGTGAGATTGCTACAACAAGCCTTCGAGTTTCACTCATGTGCCCGGTAAGTGGCTTATCTACTGGTGACAGACTATTCAACAAATTGTGAGTACTACTGTCTGTAAGACTTTCGGGAGTCCAAGAACATTGTAGTAATTGTTACCTTGAATTTGTATGAAATGTTGGGGAGCAGCTTAGCACTTGTGCAAGGAACCAACCATTTTCTATGTTCATTAATAACTGACCTCAGTGTGTTTTGTCCAACAGCTGGGTAAGATGCGGCTTACAGTGCCATGCCGGGCGGTGACCTGCTCTCACCTGCAGTGTTTTGATGCTGCCCTGTACCTGCAGATGAATGAGAAAAAACCCACCTGGATCTGTCCTGTGTGTGACAAGAAGGCTGCATACGAGAGTCTCATCATTGATGGGTTAGCTAAACTAATTCATCCACTTTACACAAAAAATAGCCTGTTTTTGCTGTTGCTGAAGTAGCTGCACATTCAGATTTTGGTAGATTGCCCAGTTAGTTGTCCACTAACATGTAGTTACAGTAACATTTACAGTTTCTCAATGTAGCAATTGGAACTCCACACATTTTGTATATTAGCTAGATGTCACAAAATGATCCTCAGTATTGGTATCAGGGTCAATATAGGTATATTTTAATGCATGGACATCTGCAAAAATGACACTGATCAAAATTTGATGATTTCTTTACTGAACTCTACCATGTCTTGTCCACAGTCTGCTAGTGTCCCAGTGCTGCTCTCCTATGTTGTACATTTACCAGAAGCTGGGGGAAGTGGGCTGTCCTCCTTTGATTAGAGAGAGTCAGCACTCTTAATATATAAATATCATGACATAGAGTAAACCCAAACAGTAGATTCTACAGGTGCATCTCAATAAATTTGAATATTGTGGAAAAGTTAAATTATTTCAGTTGTTCGGTTCAAAAAGTGAAATTCATATATTTATATAGATTCATTACACACCGAGTGAAATATTTCAAGCCTTCATTTCTTTTAATTTTGATGATTATGGCTTACAGCTTTTCCATGATATTTGAATTTACTGAGATGCACCTGTATGTCAGCTTTGGTCTTGCAAGTTTCCGGGTGAAACAATAGATGGTGTGTTGAGCCATTTTCAACCCACCAAATTCTTTAAGATTTTTTAAAAAATTGATGAGAATGTCAATTTTGATACCAGCACTGATGTGTTTCGTCACAAAAAAACACACTTGAGTGTGGAGTACCTCTTAAATATGCTCTGCGAGCATACAGTATCTCTACATATCAGTGCCAAAATTAGTGTATGAATGTGAAAACTTAATTGGTCGCACCGATGATTGACTCTTCTGACACCTGGTAAAATTAGGTATTTTTTCAAGTTACAACAGCTCGGGAGATATCTTTCTTGCATCCTTACAGTTAGATTTCCATTCATATCTAAACAGTAAGTTTAACAGCTTTATAGTTTTGAACCATGATCTTCAGTATTTTGATCAAGCAGAATGTGAAAATGAAGGTGTCAGATTTAGGAAGCTGCTTATGTTATTTCAATATGTGACATATTTAATCAATATTTAGGTAAATATAAGTATCAGATAGGACTCTGTCAGAGTTACCCAATATTAAAGCATCAGGATCTGGATCTAAACAAAATTTGATCAAGACAACCCTCATTTTTTAAGTCTTAAAAGGCTCATGGTCATGAAACTAAAATAGGTAGAAGCTGAGAAACCCACCAACAAAATCAGTCTGCTTGTTTGACCAGTTAGTGTCCAATTATTGTATATTAGTGATTTAAGTGTTTTTATTCTTTGTTCAGTTTATTCTTGGAGATCCTCAATGACTGTTCAGATGTGGATGAAATCAAGTTCCAGGAGGACGGAACATGGTGTCCCATGAGACCAAAGAAAGATGCCGTCAAGGTCCCTTCTCAGTCAGTTCCAAAAATTGAGAGTAAGTACATCATCTCAAAGCCTGGACAAGGTTTGAATTGATCATATTAACTAGCTCACTAACTGGTGTCTATCAAAGCCTCATTTACCTTTTTCCTCTGTGCCTAAAAAACACATCAATGAGCCACGCTGTTGAACTGGGTGACATGTTGACAAATAGCAGTTCAAGGGGCCATGTACCAAGGCTGAGTCCTTGTTGCTGCGGCTCAGGGTTCGAATCCGACCGGTGGCCCCTTACATGTCATCCCCTTTACCTGAGTTGTTTTAAAAGATTTGTTTTCTGTACGAACTAATGGACTTGGGGCTGAGAACCACAGACAGAATAACAAAGTCAGAAAGTGCTTTGGGGTTTTCATGGTATTTGTTTACAATAAGACAAATCTAGAATAACACCAGCCCTATACTATAACCTTTTCTTCCAGCCTCCGCTCCATTGCGGCAGTCTTCAGTGGTCCTCCATTCTACTGAGCCCAGCTCCACCAAGAAGGCGGATGTAATTGATCTGACTCTGGAAAGCTCCTCCTCCTCCTCCTCTTCTGATGAAGAGGACACAGACCCTCCACTGAAGAAACGCTGTGTTTACATTTCCAAGAATGAGGAAATGCATGCAAAGGGGTGAGCAAGCCCCTCTGTGTGGTTTTCCTGAATCATAGACAGACCTACGTGTACCAAATAATAATTTCAAAACACCATTAGTTTGTAATTTTATCTTGTATTGTATTGTATTGTATTGTATTGTATTAGGCGACAATAATTTGGTTTACAATATCAACAATTAATTCTGTTGCCATTTCAGATTTTCCCTACACGATTATTGTGGTCAAAATAATTCACAATAGCAACATTATCGTAATATAAAAATGAACACAGGACACCAGTATTAAGGTCTGGGAAGTACCTACTATGTTGGAGGGTGAACCACAAAGGGGGAATGAAAGAAACGGAAATGTTTTAAGAGGCACTGGACTACTTGCACAATATTATTGTGTGTAATTAACAATATCTATATTTAATTTTAGGGAATGAACTGATGGCAAAGGCTCATCAGAATAGAAACTTGAAAAAACTTCACAAACATACTTTGGCCATTTTATAGAATATAGAGCCTATTAGGGTTGGGCGATATGTTAAAATTCCCAACGGCCACCATCAGTCCAACAATTGGCAGTTGCTGATATATTCGTGAGTGTGTGCGTGTGAGGTGAGCAGCAAGTTCACTATGTGCAACAAGTTGTAATAGATTCAATAAACAAAATAAACTCACCAAATTTTAACAAAGGAATCAGGCAGAAAAATACAACCGTACACCTTCTGAATTCAATCTTAATTCAATCTAATACTGAACTAAGACCTTGTTAAGCAATCTTAAAACTAGGCCTGTGTGATATGGTTGTGCAATGACACTGTTCAGTATTGCAATGATGATGAGTTAAACAAATAATGAGTGCTGTACATTTCCTATGTCAACCTGGTTGTAAAATCAGTACTGGATAAGTTGTCGTAAACTGGTTGAAATCACCACATTTAGATGTGAAAATACACTGGCTCTATAGCTGTTTTTCTTCTCATTCATTGTTTGGCTCAGTGTGTATACTGCACTGCTGAATGTCTATTACTGAGCAGCTCTCAAAACAACAAAACAACCGATAACCGTTATTTTCATAATTGTTTTTGCAAAAGAATTCAGTATAAATTATTATTATGGGCCGATGTAATTTATTGTCTAATTTATTTATCTCAGTAATTCATAATAATAATAATATACATTTCCCATCATCAGCCAATAGTTTATCTGATTATATGATATCTTATAATTATCCAGATAATTATTGTGCATCCATATCTTTTTAGATTTAAATTTGTTGCCATCCACTGTTTTGACACTGAGCACTAGATTTGTATTCAATGTATGTTTGTTTTTCTCAGGGTGTTGACCTACCAGCCCACTGTGCGCGTGTCAAACATCCAGGCTCTGGACCCATCGTATTTGACCTCTACGCTAGCTGACTATGCAGTCCCCTTCCACCCATCAACCCTGGCCACCATCCCTACAGACATGCAGAGTGAGTCAGCTAGATAGAATGAGCGTGAGCACTATCACTGCCACTGTGTGGTACTGTCAATAATCTGTTTTTCTCTTACCTATAGGTCTGGATTTGTTTTCTTTAATTCAAGCCGATCCTCAGGTATGTTTCTTCAGTTTTCTACTGTTATAAGCTGCACTACGCATGGTTTCTAGATTATCTCATGAGTCTAAACCAGGAATCATAGAAGTAACAGAGAGAGGCCTCCATTTGCTACTTGAATGGCTCAACCAGGGTGTCTTTAATGTGTTAAGAAGTCTAAAATCCTATAATCTGAATTTCAGGCCTTAAAATATCTGAATATTATTTTTGACAGGTCTTGATAATTAATGAAATTAACATGTTGATTAACTTTTCAATCTCTCGTAAATGTGTTTTTAGTAAAAAAAAATCATGCAGTAATAACTACAACTTTATTCAGTACTTTTTTTGCCAGTATGGATGTGAAATTTTCTTTAATTGAATTCATGGTGGTCTTAAATTCTGAAACCTGCAAAAACCCTGTCAAAGTATTTGCTTAATTTCACAAACAGCAGCGATTTAAGTGATTTGTCCATAGAGACACTAACTTAGAAAACTTTTTTTTCATTGAATTAACCTTTAAAATAAAAGTTTATTCTTTAAAAAAACATCTACAAAAAGGGATCAATTAAATTCAATGTTATTTGTATCTTGTAATGTCTGAGTTTAACATCAGAAAATTCCATCCAGGTTTTTATGTCCTTAAGGCATGCTTGTATTTTAGCTAACTGACTAATTTCTAAGATCAGGCTTGATCGATTAGATATAACTGGGTATCATCTGTATAACAGTGAAAGTTAATGGAGTGATTCCTAATAATGTTCCCTAAAGGAAGCATGAGGGTTCCTTTAATGCTAATTAGATGCTCAAGTCTCTGTAATAGAATATGATCGTATTGAGTCAGGGTTTCCTCTAGAATTTCTTTAGCCATGGTACGAGTTTGTGTAAGACTAAGGTGCATATATGTGGTGGGGGTTTTGGGGGTCATCCCCTCAAGAACTCAAACACACCAAATATGCCATTTTAAATAGTTTTTGACCATTAATAATACCATATCTGTGTACAAAAGCTGGAAAAGTAGTCTACTTAGGACCAACTACAATTAGATCTGGAAAAAATAATTTAGCTAGTTTAGATCCTCCTCATTGATTTTACATTCATTCAACTTGGGGTTCTGCACCTTAGCCTTACAATGGTCAGAAAACCCAGTTTCAGTGACCTCAGAATCATTATAGATTATTCATGTTTGCCTTTTGTTTACTTAATTTACAGCTTTTGACATGAAGCACTTTGAAAATAAAGTACATGGGTGCGCACATAGTTTGTGATTTGCAGAAACCTGAAAACATTACTCTTAGGGAGTTTATACTTTTTCTTGCAACTGAGCAAACGAGGCAAAGGTTCCACTCACGTAAAGGTCATTGATTATGTGAATACCCTGGTCTCTCAACTATAAGAATCCATTATCAAGCTGGGATGGTAGGAATGAATGGTTCCTAGATGGAGCAGGAAAGAGAGTGAACCAATCCAAAAGTGCTTCTAAATTGCGTCCAGATTCTTACCATACTCTATAATGACGCTTCCACTATAAGCAGATCTAAGGCCACTGGGGACAGGATCACTGCACCCAAACTGTTAAGACGGCATTGCTCGCTCCAGCCCCAGCCACAGAGAGGGCTTGGCCAAGTTGTCCAACCACACTAAGATTGTTTTGATATTAGAAGCCCAGTTGTAAAGACAAAAGTCAGGAAGAGCAAGCCCACCAGCTTGTTTTGTTTTGCAGAGGTGATCTTTTTTAATTCTATGGTTTTTATAGCCCCACATAAAAGGGAGTAGTTAGGGCAGGAGCACAGGGAGGCACTGGAAGAGGTAAAGTAGCTGGGGAAGGAGTATTATTTTAACTGTGTTGATTTTCAGTTCCCGATCCTTCAGTGAGATAGGAAGTGATCTCCAAAACTGGATGTTAGCTCACAATTTGGCCACAAGAGGGGGTAAAGTTTGAAAAGGGAGGAAAATTCTTCAGTGACCTGAATCCCAAGGTAGGTGAAGGTCTGAAAAATAATTTTAAGTGGTAAATGTTGTATCAGGGACAGGTCCTTTTTAACCCAATGGGTATCAGCTCGCAGGCAGGATTTAGAATGATAAATTATATCAAAGGCGTCTAAGGTTGGAGGAGTTTCTACCAGGGATGAAACTGGTTTGATCCAGATAAACCAGTTTGCCCATAAATTGGTTGAGTCTATTTGCTAATAGCCAGTATTTTCTGGTCCACATTAAGGAGAGAAATGGGCCTGTATCCTCTGACCTCTTCCAGGTTCCTGCCCCTTTTTGGAATAAGGGTTATGACAGGCTCTGTAAGAGTTACTGGCAGAGACCCGTTTTCAAGAGCTTGAGAGGACATATTGAACATATAAGGTGCAAGTGTGTCAGCAAATACTTTGTACAGTTCGCAAGGGAGCCTGTGCAGGCCTGGGGTCTTACTTTCAAAGTTGTTTTTTTCAGAATTTGTTTCATTTAGGTCTTTGTTTAGGAAGGCGTAGTCCACCTGTGTAAAGGAGAGAAGGTGGGGACCTAAATTTGTTTTGGAGGAGTTTCATAGAACTCTTTAAAGCGGTTCTTGATATCTTTCACTGAGGTAAGACAAACTGTGTTTAGACTTGATATTTTACTATATTCTACTTGTTTGTGCAATTATCTGGCAAGCAATCTCTGCGGTTTCTCCCCAAACTCGAAGTACTTCTGTTTATTTTGACATTTTTGCTGAAATAATCTGATTATATTCAAGCTAAAAAAATATATATTTGTCTAGCGAGGAATGGCGTGCATTCTTCTCATCTAACTGATGGATTTGTTCTTGTAGCTCTAGAAGCTTAGCTTTGTTTAACTTATTTCTGTGCCCCAAATATTATAGAGCCCCTCAGGTATGCTTTTAGAGTCTTCCACAGTAAGCCTGGGGTGTGAAGATATTCAGATAATTTGGGGTCATTAATAAGTTAAGAGTCCATTTTCCACATTGTGCGAGAAAAGTGCAGACCGCTTAAATTGAGTACAAATGTAAGAGGGCTTTGATCGGGGATTAAGATGTCATGGTATCTAGGGTTGTGAATATGAGGAAGTAGTTCAGATTCTACCAGACAAACACAGTGGATTTTTCCCAGTAACAATAAGATAATGTCCTTCCGTATCAGTTTTCATTGATTGGACACCCTTACGAATTAGAATAGATACAGAAGAAGATGAATGATAAGCTTGCCCAACCCATCTACTCCATAGCCTAGCCTGGGAGTTGCTCTTTAAATGGGTTTCTTGAAGGAACACGATACCTGAGGACAAGGATTTCAGGTGGGCTGTTACTTTACCCCTTTTTACTGGATGGATCAATCCCTTCACATTCCAGTTGGTTCAAGTTAGGCCTCCCCGTCCACTACCATGAGTTACACCATTATCCTGTATCAGAGAGAGAAAACCTGGCAAGATGTTATAGTTTCCATTACAACACAAAAAATTCTCATCAAAGATGACCACTCTCCAACATGAACATGGGTCCCCATAATGGCTGGCCACTGCTAAAACACATACAACACATGGCACGACTCCATAAGGGAGATTAGAGAACAAAACAAAAAAGGAAGACACAAATATAGTATCTGTAAACACAATATAAAAGGAACCTTCCTAATATTTCTGTGTTAACCTTATGTCAACTTTCAAGTAAATACTGTGCAAAAAGTAACTCCAGTCAGTTTAAGTTTAATCAACACAGGGATGATACAGCAGAGTAGCCTATTGAGATGGTCCATATCCTAAAAATAGATAATAATAAATCAATTAAAATAAATAAATGGGCAATAATAATAGCAACATTAAATATATATAAAAATATGGTAAATGACAATGAATAGATAACCAAATAAAAAGAGCCAAACCAAAAAGGAGAGAGAACAAAAAATAAAATAATGTAAAAAAAGTATTTAAAAAAAATTATCAAAACAGAACAAGAATGGACCATATATTTCCATCTAGTGTTACATTAGGTTCAGTAGGCAGTTTTGCTGTTTTTAACAGTAAAGAACAAACAACTGAGGGATGCCAGATGTCATGATTAAAAAGGAAATGTAAAACATATTCCTGCAAGACAACAAATTCACAGTGAACTACTGATTATAGTGGGAGACAAATAAATATACACAAATAAATAAAGAACCACACCAAACAATCAACATTGATTATGCTGATCAACTTGTTTTTTCCTGCTTAGCATTACCGGCCACAGATGTTCCTGGACAACCTGACGAACACCATGCAAAGTGCAGCTGCTGCCAGCACCAGCTCAGCCTTGGTCTCCTCCTCAAGCAGCCACTATGACACCAGCACCCACGCTGGCAGCTCCATCCATGAGACCCGGGTCATCGCAGGAGGAGGAGGGGGCACTGGAGGAGGGACTGACAGCAGCATATCAGATATCATTTCACTAGATTGAGCCACATCTCACTGGACCTTTTTTGGCCTCTTTTCTGTGGCCTTTTTAGTCAGGACTACATGTACATGTCATGTTGAGTTTTACACAGAAGCACACAAATTGGTATATATGAGCACTTTCATGGCCTGAATATTTTCCACAATGTTAAAAACTGTATCCAGGCATGTTTATTTTGCCCTTGGGTTTTTTTAATTGCAAAGGGCAATATTGTGTGTCATTTCTTTTTACTTCAATATTTGGCAAACATTCTCTTTTGATTTAGCTCTGTATAGTCTAATATCCCCTGATGTTTTTAGCCATGGGCTAGTCCAGTATTCCATGATGTTTTAGCCCTGTTTTGGTCCAATACTCCCTGATGTTTTATCCCTGGTTTGGTCTCTTTTCTCGGCAGAAAGATAATTGCCTGTAATTCTTTTTTCCAGTTTTTTCATTGTTGGAAATATTTAGACAACCTTCATTTATACCAGTTTGTTTGCTTGCACAATGCACATACATGTAAATGTGACTGCAGCCTATTCTGGCCCGATTGAGCTGAACTATGTGCCTAATTAGCATTGAACAGAGCCAGGATAAATGGAAGAACAGCTTGGACTCACTGCTCTCAGCTAGATGTTTCACACAACATCCGTGCTAGTGAATACATCGTTGGAAGTAGGAAGCATCTCTGTAAAAGACTTGTGGACTGATGATCAGGCTGTTGACTGTGTAGGTGTCTGACCTCCTCACACACCACAACAGGGCTGTTTCTGTCCATTTTTATTGTATCTGTGCTGGCTTTGAAAAGCCCTGCTTTGCCTTTCAATCACACAAATGGTAACTGGAAGGCAGGTCAGTAATTCAAATGTTTTCATTGGTTCTAACAGCTGTTAATCAGTACTTTGATGAAGTTTGTTACAGGGCAGCTTTCATGTCATACCAACATAAGATTTTCCTTTGTAATTTAGTCCAAGCAATAATAATTTAACTTCTGTTAAGTTAAATTAAGTTGTAAATGTAGTAGATACTCAGTAAATAATTTAAACTGGTCCATGCCACTCTGCCACTCTGCTTCCAAAATCAAATGTACAGTTGTTGTTTATGGTCAGTTTATTGACTTAAATAAATTGCAAACTTGAGATTTCATCTTGTAAGAGAAATACACTTAAAGGAATAATGCAAAATGTAGGCAAATATGCTCATTTGCTTTCTATCAGAGTGAGATGTTCAGATGGAAGTGTAAGCATAAGTCTGGGTGTGCTTAGCTTAACATAAAGACTGGCAGCAAGGCGAACTACTTGCTTGGCTGTGTCTTAAGTTCCATAAATATACCTTCTGACACCCTGATAGCTCAGTAATTAACATGTTGTATATCATTCGTTTGCTTTTTACACAAATAGACATGTAGGAATTCAAGTTTGTAGTTTTAGGAGGCATTTTGTGTTTCAATTTAAAGTTCCAGTGTGTAACATTTAGCAGGATCTATAGGCAGACATATCTAGAATATTCATATGTATGTTTTCGTTAATATAAATAGGAATTGTGTTTTTGTTACATTAAAATTAGATGTTTTTATCTACAGAGGCGGTGGGTCGCCTTCCATAGATTTTTCCATGTTGAACCACCATGTTTCTACAGTAGCCCAGAAGACAAACCAGCTTTTCAAGTTTTTTCACATTTGCAGTCTGCAACAACAGTACTAGATGCCACTAAATCCTACACACTGGTCCTTTAAAAGTCCACTCTGTTAATCTTCGGAACTCTGACCTCTCTGCTATTGTTGGATTTTTCTGTGTGTTGGTATAGAATAGATGGATATGACATTTTCTCAGTGTTAATGCCTACACTTAAGCCCATTTACTAACAGTTGACAGCAAGCAGAAACATCAAGAACAATAAACACGGCAGCTACTCTACCATACCTACATTATCTGGATTGCTTGCATGTGTACATGAACCCCCAGCCATCAGGAGCTCAAATCTCAGGGACCTACACTCCACTTTTCTGCGCTTGTCAGACTGAGTGAATTAAAATACGGACACATAGAAACAACATCTGTAACTAAAATACAGATGCTCATATAAAAGCGCATATACATTTTTTTTTACATTTTCAAGATTCATTTCAAGCTTGTAATAAGTTAGTTATTGGGATGAGAATTAATTCTGTAATTTAATTAGTCCATTGAAAAATGACATTTAGAAAATTCAACATCAGTGTGTTTTTTTCAGAATCCATATCCCTGTTAGTCTGGATAATTCACAGACTAGAGATAGTCTTGATCATTGTACTGGGGTGGAGGCAGAACTCTCAGACAGATATCTCAAAAGTAAAAACATGCAAGATCAACAACATTAAATTCTTTCCACACCTTTATAGCACCTTTCCTCAAATAGGAAAAACATATTAGTGTGGAGTGTTTGCATATCACTGTTTTGTGAAATTACCGATTAGACTTAGATCTCTATCTGTATTCACCTGCAGGCAGATGTTGGATCTGTGGAATCCAAATCCAAAAAATCATGTTTTTTTGTACTTTATTTTAAACTTTAACAGACTCAGAGAAACATTTTTTTTTTTTGGTTTTCTTTGCTTCAAAATCATGAGCTTTATTACAGGATGGTTTACAAAATTGTCTATGTTTTCCTGTATCTGTAAACTTGCAGCATTTTTAATTGTGGTACCATGTGAGGGTGTTTTTTATTAAAAGTTTTCTTTTTTTATTTAGTTAAAATCTGTTGCTCTTGGAAATAATCCCTTCAGTGGGCCAGTGGATTGAATGTGCTGCAATCAAACATCTGGGCCCTGCTCAAACAGACTTCTCAGAATTTCACTTAAAGGGTTACTTTAGGTCCAGCTGGTCCAGTATTGAGCGAGAGGTCTGCAGCCGTTGTGGCTGCAAAGCAATCCTTATAGGCAACTGTGCACTTTCAATGTTCAGTATGTACACTAAAAGTGCTTGTTTTTTCTACTGGCTCAGATTGTTTTTTGAGTGTCTGACAACAGTATGGAAAGGACCCTACAGAGACCGTAAGAGTAAGATCCATTTTATTTAACCAGAAACAGCACTTATATTGTGTTCAAAGCCACCAGACTGCATTGACAAAAACTGTAATTTTACTGTGTAACATTATACCCTGCTGTTAATGGACGATCCACTCTACCATATCAGAAGAACAAATATAAGGAGAATTTAATAACAAAAACTAAAGATTTAAGTGGAAAAAGTTGTGTAACGTTGTGTTCAAATGTGTGTTTGAAGGTATGTTTCAAGAAAAGAAAATGGCTCATCTCCTCTTCCACAGGAGGGCACTACAACCTCAATCAGAGACAAACCACAGCTTACCTACACTTTTGAAACAGGTCAAATATGAGCAAGATGCTCTCAAAATGTTGTTTTGTGGTATGATATGATCTAGAAATTCAGTGTATTATCATATTAAAATATCAAATATTTTCTATTTTTGTGAATATCCTTCTGAGGAAACTAAAAACAGATTTTTGTTGTGTGTGTGTGTGTGTGTGTGTGTGTGTGTGTGTGTGTGTGTGTGTGTGAGTGTGAGTGTGTGTGAGAGAGAGGTCAAATTCCTCTTGAGACACCAAGATGGCTGTGGCTGTTAACCACCCAAAAAATAACCCATTTGAAGTAAATAACCAGCAACTTAGACGTTTTGAACAAACTTGATTCTCAGATCTATGACTTATCATGAATTCAGCAAGGCCTTGGATCTGAGAGAAATGTAACACTGTAATGTCCCCACAACGACCCCCTGTCAACTGTGGGGAAATGCTGTTTTTAATCTTTGTGAAATGGTTAGGGGCCACAAGGCCAAATTAATCTAATGTACACTCAACATGGCAGGTCATATGACAACCAGAGAGCAGGTGTAGGACAACAGGGGAGGAAATATGGGGGAAATAGAAGTAAAATGGGGGGAAAAGTCAACTTGGGAAATCAGATTCGACTATCAGATATGGACTCGGTGACAGGTGAGGTTAGGTTAAGGTCAGTGCCATCCTCAGGTGTATGTTTGCTGGCTGCCAAATTGCAGGCAATACCAAAAAGACTCAGGTATTAATACATGTAGTTCTAATATGTAGATGATGATTACTATTATGGCCAGCTTAAACTGCTTGTGGTCCTAGGCAGACATTTGTTGTGGGGGTTGCACCAGTAGCTCACCTGGTAGAGCGTCTGTCTTATGTACTAAGGCTGAGTCCTTACCACAGCCCCTTGCTGCATGTCAAAGGCCCCCCAAAAAATGAAAAAAAGAAATTGTGGGCTCCAATTAAAAAAGTCCAGTGCCAAATCATAACAGAAGTTATCTCAGGACACTTTTCAAATAGAGCAGGTCTCGACTGCACTGTTTATGAAATTATTTACAGAGACCAAACAATTTCCACATTCTTTAACAATTCTCATACATTAATTTATTTGTGCTTGCCAGAATGTCAATATTAACGGCCATTGATTTTTGATTAATTGATTGGGTTAGGGTTGGGTTAGGGTTAGGGTTAGGGTTTTTTTTAATGGGCAAATCTTATCTATCTATCTATCTATCTATCTATCTATCTATCTATCTATCTATCTATCTATCTATCTATCTATCTATCTATCTATCTATAGAGCTGCTCCTTGCCTTGTTCTAGCTCTCTCTGTGGCAAACTATTTTAACATTTAATCAGTTGCAGTAATAGCAGTTTTAGATATCAACAGTTGTAATTATGACTAGTAGCAATCTGAAATAAATATATCTGCAGTTCACAATGAATTGTGGAAATGTCTGTTGTTTATATATGTAAATTAATTACAACTAGTCAACTTTGCCATTGATTTCTATTTACGCTCAGTTACAGGTATGTGTGATTCAGTTTTGACTCATCCATAATGTAGTTTTGACCAGTTGCAATTCTAAAAATTGATATCTACAACTCAGTTCTCACTAGTCAAAATGTTCATTATTATCAACAAATCAATTCTCGTTATTGGAAATGTCAGTTATTAAACTCAGCCTCATCCCAATTTTAACAATAATCCTTTAGTCAAGCCCAAATTCTAAAACAGCCCTGTGAAGAAGGGTGAATGCTTATTTTAAATGACAACAATAACAACAACAAAGGGTCTCTCCACAACTGTAATAGGTTCTCAAGAAGACAGAAGTACAGGACATTACACGCATACACAGGCCAGTACAGCAAGCATTTGTTAAGCGTGGTTCTGACTGGCATTAGATGGCAGACAGAGCCAAAATCCCAATTATTGGTGCAATGAAGCTGCAGTTGTTGTTCTGGGAGGTGGCTGGAAGGCTTGTTAAGTGTTCAGCTACTGAAGGGTCTCCTCCTCTGGGAGCTTTCCTCTCACATCTGTCTTGGAGTGTTGTTACCCCATCGGGCTCTGTCCTCAACAAAGCCCCGCTAAATCAACAATTATGATTAAAACCAGTTAGTCAAGTATAGCTTTACTCTCTGTATGTGTTTTTTAATTTCAGGTTTACTGAGGTATGTGCTTACTGGTGTTCTTTACTGTGCTGTAATGAGAATCACAATTGGCTTTATTGCCAAGTAAGTTTTCACAGACACCGAATTTGTTTTGGTACAAACACTCACAATGCGAGATGAACAGTGCCCCGCAAATTACAAAATCAAAGTGGGTGTCAGTGTTCAGTGAGAGGATGAAACAGAACTATCCGTCTGGTCACGAACAGAGACACACCATGACAGTAAATTGTGGGAACAGTGATCAGGTAAACTTGTGTTCTCTCCTCTCCAAGTTTGATCTCAGCAAATAACAGTCAAGTTAAGTTGATGTCCTAGCTTGCAATGAATTTCTCTTGTCATTTTCTATATTTTAATAGTCAGTTGACATGACTTCAACTCAGCACTTGGGGTGGAATCCCTGCTACCATTATAAGCATTGTTCAAGTTGTCTGAATCAATATATTTATTTATTTCCACAAATTGAGAGCACACTTTTCTTATATGTTAATTTCTATATGTTAATACTCAAGTATCTTAAGATTCTATGGAAGATCTTCTATTCAAATGTTTATTTGTACCTCATTCTAGTCTGTATAGGTCTACTTATCACAGATGGAGCAAAATGTTTGATGGGAAGGAGGATTGTAGTTGGAGTATTAGGTGTGAGTGTGTGGTAATGGCAATTGTTTTACCTCTCTCACAGGCCAGGTAGGAGGACCTCACTAGCAGAATTTAGACAATAAAGTCCAAGGTATCTGCAAAAGGTCACAATATACTTGTAATGTACAAAGGAATAATCCAGAAGATGTGCATAAGTGTGGGTTAACACATGTACACATACATATATATACACATGCACACTACTATAGGAACCACGAGCAGCCCTGCAGTCTGGGAGCACAGTGTTCTACCTCATAGGGTACTATGAGCTCTTTAAGATATGTGAAGAGGTTTGTGGATGAGGAGGAGGAGGATTTTAAATTCTATTGTGAATTTAACAAGGAGCCAGTGCAAAGAAGTCAGTTAAATAGTAGTATTTTGAAATCATGTGTTTGAAGACGCCTCAGCCAATCTCATGTTTTAGACTAGGTTTCCATTATCTTTTGGTGTAGCTGCCCTGGGTGAAGTGTTAAACATAAGTCCAAAATCAGATTTATTAGCATGATCCAAAAAGCCAAAAGCAAAGAATCATTTCAAAGGCAACCTGAACATTCATTATCCTCTTGCACTAAAGAGAGTCTTCCAGAAATGTCTGCCTGTCAATTATGATGGCCTCAAATGCAAATGAAATGTATGCTGACTTTGATTAGATAGAAGTCACTTGTTTTTTTACTAGTCTCTGCAGTTTTTAATGGCTCGTGACTATTACAGGCATAGAAGAAATTAGAAATTGCTCTTGAGAAACCATCCTAATGAACAATATTAAAACATAGAATACAACA